AACACTGTTATAGATATAAAAATAAAAAATAATGAATGTGGTTCAAAACCACAAAATAAAAACCACTGCGCCACTACCACATTTGAATATTTAAAAATATTACATTAAAATATAGTAACAAAGAATTTTTTTATTTTATAATTTTTATTATTATTCTATTATTATTTATTAATTTTATTATTTTACCTCTTTTAAAATATCCATTTTTACTTTATTAGCATCAAGTTCAGCTTCAAACACTGTATGTTTTATGAGCTTACTTCTAATGTTTGTATTTTCCTTATATGATTCATCTGATGCTGATTGTAAACGTTCATTCATCCAGTCTATTACCTAATTTATAAAATAATTTATATTTACAATATATTTACAAAAAAAGGTAAATTTATATTAAAAAAAAAAGCAAAACATTTTTTTACAAGATTTAAGTGTCTCTCTTACCTCACTTGAATCCTCAAGAAACTGTTTTAGCTGCAAATCTTGCAAAAGCTCAGCAAGCAGATTTTCAGCTAGGTCTCGATTTTTCTTACGACTAAATATTTATCACATTAATTTACTTAATATCACATTAGATCTTTACAATTAAGTATTTGACATTTATTATTAAAATTACAAATTAAAACAGTCACTTAATCACAGTGTTAAAATTAACTCCAAACGAAAAACCAAGTTCACTCTTCAATGACACTTCTCACCTTTTGATGACACTTCTCATCACTCTGATGACACTTCTCATCACTCAGATGACACTTCTCATCACTCTGATGACACTTCTCATCACTCAGATGACACTTCTCATCACTCTGATGACACTTCTCATCACTCTGATGACACTTCTCATCACTCTGATGACACTTCTCATCACTCTGATGACACTTCTCATCACTCAGATGACACTAATCATCACTCAGATGACACTAATCATCACTCTGATGACACTTCTCATCACTCAGATGACACTAATCATTACTCAGATGAGCAATAAATTTAACTTGTTTCACAACTTTTTTATTCACAAAAAGTAGCCTTGTTTATCAGGGTTTGTGTTTTGGAGTTAATGGTTTAAAAGAGAAGCACAAAAACAATTGAGGAAAAATATAGCATAGACAACTACCTCAACTGTAGTGCCCATGTGAAGATGGCATATTAAAAAAATCAAATATATCACCTATAATGTAGCATTGTTCATATTCTCCCAAACTCATGTAAACTATTTTAAGAGAAATTACCATTCATCAATGCAATTAGCCTTTTCCACAATCTTTTCTTTAGCATAGTGATTATTTTGACAAAGTTGTTCAGCAAATATCAAAAGATGATTAATTTTATCATCATGAGTGGCCATCTTATTGAAATACTCTTCTAACTTCTTAATCTCCTCTTGCAATGCATCTGCAGTAGGCTAAAAAAAACTTTCTAATAAAAAAAAAATATTTATATGTAATTTTATATATATCATAAATATTTCTTCTTTTCTTCCCTAAATTTTGTTAAATAATCTCAAAGATTAGAAAAAACAACAATTGTCAATCAATATGTTTGATGTGTTTTGTCATTAGACTGCATTATTGGGTCACTTTTTTTTGTATGGAAATGTTAATTTTTATTATCTAAAAATACAAGATAGAATACCACAACACTATTGCAACACTGACAGCCAGAAATGAGTCTCCAATAAGTGGAAAGTTATTTATTTACAAAAAGTCAAAAAGGCTGAGTTTAGTTATTAATGACAATATAAACCATATTGAAAAAAAAAGAAACAAAATTTGAACTGCACTATGAAAACATTTTTTACATTAAAATAATCTAAAAGATTAAAATAAAAAAGATGGCAGAGCATAGTAATAATATGCATTATTGTTAGTATGTGTAATTAATATTAGTATATACTATTACTAACAGTGAAAAGTAACAGTTTCATTAGGACATAATTTTTTTTTTTTTTTTTTTTAATTTTGTGTACTTCACAAAACTATTTAACACTAATTTTAGTCACAGAACTGTTATTTATTAGTACACTGTTATTTATTAGTCAAATAAAACAATTAGCTTTATTCTCTATAAAAAGTGCAAATATAAATAATTAAATGTATTTCTTTAATAACCAACTATATTAAAAAATCAAAACAAACAACTTTACTTACAGTAGTACGTTGTTTAGACAAAAAGAGTTCCTGCTGTCCAAGTATAGCTTCACTTTGTTTAGAATCTCGTAAAAAAAGCTAAAAGTAATTTAAAGGGTTCTTAAAATGATAAAAAATAATTAAAAAAAGTCTCATTAAAAAAGCTTAAAGAATTAACATTTTATTTAGCCTTTTTTTCAATTTTAAATTAAACTTATATAAATAAAATAAACAACTGTTTTATTAAGCTTTAACTTATAAACTTTTTTTAAACATGTTTCAAAGATTTTAAATGTTCCTTTTGTTAAATCTTTGAAAAATGCTTGTTAAATACAGAGAAAATACAGAAGAGCAGCACATGCAATTTTTGATTTTTTTGATTGCTTGAAATAAAATGTAAATAAAATATCCATAAAAGTATACAATAATATATAAATAATAGTATAAATAAAATATACTAAAATTAAATTTTTTTGTTACTAGTATAGGTTGAACATATTTTCTAAAAACTTTTTTAACAAAATTTTATAATTTAACAACAATTTTTTTTTTTAATTAAATCTTTTACTTGATGATTCATGCTCTGCTCAAGTAAAATCTTCCTTGCATGCCATAATTCATGGAGTCGTGTCCAATCATCTCTCAAATCACTCATTTGTTGTCGTAATGACTGAGTCTGAAGAACATTATGATCATCGTGAATATACTTTGGACCTTCAGAAACTAACAAGTTGTAATCATCAACATGTTGCTCGATTATAGTCTAAAAAAGATAAACAATAAGTAAAACAACAATTTATAAATTCATAAAAATATATAAAAATTTATTTATATATATATAAATATTATATATATATAAATATATGCATTTATTAATTTAATTCCAATCCCTAATACTTATAAATGAATTTTGATATACAAATAAAATATACAAAAATGAAATTTTATACTTTGCCATAATTAAAGTTCTTCATATTTAGATGATACCTGCTCAAACCTAAAACCAATGTATGGAATGAGGTCCCCACAGCTTCCTATTTCAGTATCAGGTTATCAATAACATTTAATGCTAAGTTTTTTTTTTGTTATTCCCCTTCTCAAGGTTGAAAAAGGCCACTTAATAGTGGTTATAACCCTCTCTCAACTCTATAACTCCGAAACATGAACCTTGACGAACAAGGCTGCTGCGGGGAGAAACAAGTTGAGCGCGGTACTATCAGGGACGTGGTGGGGATCGAACTGGAAACCTCTCGCTTATGAAGCGAGTGTTTTACCACTACACCACTACCGCATGAAACTGCACAGAAAGATGTATGTATAAATAACATTGCGTACTTAGCTAAGTATTTAAAGGACATGGTTGGTGAACTTTTTTAAAAAGTAGATAAAACAAACAACTTTTCAGTTACTTTCCATTTAAAGTTTATCTTTTTTTTATATAGCCATTTGGGGTACCAAAAAGTCATGGAACTCAAACAACCAAACCATGGGACTCAAAAGAGGTAATTTTATAATAACTATTCTTTTTAATTTTATAACTTTTTAAAAGTAACCTTAGATATTATTAAAAAGTGTCTCAAGAATTGCCTTTTTTCAATTTCTATTTTAAAATGTTTTTTACAATAAATTTAAATAAAAAATGATTTTTATTAAATAAAATATTATTCTTTATAAACTTATTTCTATGAGAACATACATCAATCTTATAATCTGCTGCTGCAAAAAAGTGCCACTACATCTGCAAAGAAGTGCCACTACATTGACTGAGGGTTTGGGATAGAGCATCTTTTCTTTAATTATTCTTAGTTTTTTTCTTCTTCTTTTTCTGATGAAATCAGAAATAATTTTATAAAAATAAAAAAATAAGATTGCTGCCCTATGTTGAACTCTCAGTGGATCTAGCAGCACTCCTTTTTGGCAGCAAGATAGTCGATATACATGAAAGTCGATATACACGAAAGTCGATATGTACACATATATATAAATACATACACATACATTTATATACAAATGTACACACACTCATACACTACATACATACATACATACATACATACATACATACATACATACATACATACAAACATAAATATATACTCGCATAAACATAAATCTGTATATAAAAATGCTGATGAACAGAATTTACCTTTATCTCAAAATGAGCATCTAACAATGACTCATTTTCAGATACACTTTGAGGTAAATCTTCTGAAGAACAAGCCTCTGATATATGTTGCAACCAAGAAAGAAATTCATCAAGAGAAATTATAAAACGTTTGAGCTCCCCAGTTTCTAATAAAAACTCATTTTTTTCTTTAACCTAAAAATAGTTGCTTTAGTTATTAGTATATAAAAAACTAAAGAAAAAAGAAAAAAAAAAATAACACAACTAAAAGCATACCATTTTTGAAAGATTTTCCCAAGCGGACTGCATGTCATCAAATCTGGCTTGAATACTTATGGCTTCTTCAGGGTATTCTTTTGAGAGACTAACCGCTCTAGAGTGAAGATCTTGCATCTAAAGTTTTTTAAAATGAAAAATTGAAAAATGTTTTTATATTTATATTTTGTATTTATATTGTAAATGTACTTTTAACATTTATTTTTTATTTTTTATACTAGTATAAATAAAATACAAATAGAAAATTAAAAAAAAAAAAGATTTTATTTTATTTTGGTTTAACTTCCTTTCACTTTTTCTTTTTTTACCTTTAAAGGTAGTGAAGCAATGTCACGTTCGATACTGAGCAGTCGACGTTGTAAAGCAATAACACTTGATAAATCAGCTCCAGGATCTTCAACTGATGCAAGTAAACCAGTTTTTTCTACAATCCAGCTCTAAAATTACAAAAACTAGAATAAAGAGTTGATTTTTAATTTATCAAAATAACTTGAAAATTTACATATGTATTTGTTTATAAGATTTATTTTGGTGGTATAATAAATAGAACAAAATCAAAGAAACTTTTAAAGTTCAAATAAATAACAAAGATTGAAACTTATGTGTTTGAGTATAGTATATCATTAGAAAGATGTAAACAAAGATATGCTAAGAATAAATGTTGAATTATATTGTGGTTTATAATAACTTGGATAACATTGTATGTAACAACTGAATCAAGTTTAACTTAAGAATTGTCATATTAAGAATGAAAATGTTTAAAATATTAAAATGTTGTAAAACTGTTTCTTATAATAAACATTTTTTTTTATTTGCTTTAAAGATGTAAAATTTTTCCTAATTCCAAGGGTTGCATATAGAATCAAAAAACTAAATATTCTTCAACAGATTTCTTACTTTTACAGAAAAAACCAACAAACCTGAGTTTCAGTAAATTCACTATAAATAGTTTGAATGAGCAAACATGCATTGAGTTCTTTTTTCTTCGCATCAGCTTCATGCAATAATGAATCCCACCTGTTGCAAAGAAAAAAATTTAAATATTAAGAAATAACATTAGGAAAACCCTAACCCAAAAAATAAACCCTAATCTAAATAAAAAATCTAAAAATTAATAATCAAGTTTTAAATTATATATTATACATGAAATCCTCCCCCCCCCCCAAAAAAAAAAAAAAGAACCTTTTTTTGCATGAAAAAATAATTCTGTCAAAACCACAATTAAACATTTATATTTAATTCAAGTTAGTAATTTGTAACTAATAACAAAATTTAAAAGTAAAAAAAATAAGTCTTAAAAATATGAATTTTAATTTTCTAAATTAAAAATATGAATCTTCATTTTCTAAATTAAAAATATGAACTTTTATTTTCTGCAAATTACATTTAAAAAATTATTTTATTGATTACGTCATTTTCAGCAGATTGATATTACCCTTCCATAACACTCAAAGTGATTTTTTATTTATCAAGTGGTAGTGCAGTGATAAACCACATGCTTCATAATTACAAGGAACAGAGTTCAAACCCACCACACTCTTGTACCAGCACACTCTTAGAAGTACTAAACTTGTTTCTTAACTTGAATTGTGCTTTTTTCATGTTGTCATTGTTCATGTTTTAAAACTAAAGAATTAAGATAGGAGCATAACAATTTTTTGAAAATAATTAGACTCTTAACAATAGTACCTCCTTCAGCCTCGCACTAATTGGTTTAATTAACAATAGTACCTCCTTCAGCCTCACACTAATTGGTTTAATTAACAATAGTACCTCCTTCAGCCTCGCACTAATTGGTTTAATTAACAATAGTACCTCCTCCAGCCTCGCACTAATTGGTTTAATCAACATCGGTTATACTTATGTACTTAGCACATAACCAGGGTTAGTGTCAAACATGAATTTGTATTTGGTAATAATATGCTATATTGTTGTATTTGAATTAAATTTGATTAAATATTTTTTTTATTTTATGGAAGTACCTTTGTAGCTCAATAAAAAATCAAGTTTTTATCAACACTAAAGTAATTTAAAAACTTATTTTTAAGCGATAATTGATAAAAGATTTATTTTAATTTCAAAATTACATCTTAGAAATTATTTAAATTACATCTTAGATATTTTTAGATAATACCTTTGATAATAAATTACATCTTAGATAATAAATTACATCTTAAAAATTATTTAATTGTTCATCAAATAATTTCATATTAATTTATAATATTGTTTATATAAGTATTTCATACTAAGTTAAATAATAATAATTCAAAGAAACACAATTCTTATAAAATACAGAAACAATATAAGTAACTGTGAGTTTATATATATATATATATATATATATATATATATATATATATATATATATATATATATATATATATATATATATATATATATATATATATATATATATATATATATATATATATATATATATATATATATATATATATATATATATATATATATATATATATATATATATATATATATATATATATATATATATATATATATATATATATATATATATATATATTAAGTAGAAACTCATTTTAAATGAGGATTTTCTTTAATTTTTTTTCTTTAAATTAAGATCAAATGTACTTTTTAATAGAATGAATTAATTAAATAAAGACTCAAGTAATAAACGAAGTTAACCAAGGTTGATCTTTGTTCTTTAAAAAATATAAAACAAAAATAAGTTTAAATATTTGTATTCTTTGTTTACCTTGAATACAAGCACTTGTATTTACATAAATTTAACATAAAAAAAAAAAAAAAGAGAAGGCAGATTACATATATTTGTTTTTTTATTCATTTTCAGAAATTTGGATTTAACATATTTGTTTTTAACCCTAACCTTGCACATAACTTAATATTTTTGTTTACTACGATTTATTTATGTTTTTTTTAAGTTTTGTTTTAGAATTGAATGAAAAGAACAAGCAAGAAAAAAATTTACATGCTGTTTAGGTTCCCGATTCTTTCCGAGAACTGTTGGGATGCATCAGAGTCAGTTTGAAGTATTTTATCAGCCATATCATTAACCGCTTTCATTCTTTCTTTATATACAGTCAACTCCTAAAAAATGAAATTAGAATAAAAAATTTAAATATAATGAATAATGAAAAAGAAGTTATTTTATGCTATAACAGAGAAAACCAGAATAAAAAACATATTACTATATTTATGATTTATGTTGGAATGGTAGTAGTAAATAATTTTTTGTTTTAGGTTAAAATCTTGGCTTTAATACAGACTCTTTCAGATAAAGAAAAAGAACAAAACTTAATGTTGCCATAATTGTTATCATAAATGTGTGTGTATATTTCACATATATTGATTTTACATTTCTAATTACAAACTTTTATATTTCTTACATTTAATACATGCACACTTATAAAATAACAAAGTTGGTAATTTTGTAGACATTAAAAAGACAATTGCCTTCATCATGACAAAACAAAATATAAATAGTATGACTTATAAATGTTCTCAGTTTTTTTATTAATCCAAAAAAAAAAATTAATTCTAAACAACAATTAATTATAATTTGTCTAACTAGGATTCATTTGTAATTAACCATTTCTACAGTTTATATATAAATAAACACACATATGTATGTATACATCAGCCTTTTTTTTGCTGTCACAACAATGAAAACATAAAAATGCTTGTTAAACTTCAAGTAAAAACTATGACCCTCAGTATATAAAAACATCAATAGGTGCTAAATACACACACAAAATGATTTTTTTTACCATGCCATTCGCTGCATTAAGTCTGACAAGTTGTTTTGTTCAGAAGTAGTAAAAAGTAAGTGTTATGACCATCATACTACACAGAAGTTTTCGAAAAAAGTTGAAGACTTTAATGATGCAACTTTTACATACTAAATATGTGACAGCATTTTACATTTCTAGAAAGTTTAAAGTTATTTCCACTTTCAGTTCATTTTTAATAGCTTAAAGAGTGTCAAATGTTACAACCGCTATTCTTGCAAAATTAACCATATATATATATATATATATATATATATATATATATATATATATATATATATATATATATATATATATATATATATATATATATATATATATATATATATATATATATATATATATATATATTTACACACATACAAATATATACATACATATATATATGCATATACATATATATATATATATATATATATATTTACACACATACAAATATATACATACATATATATATACATATACATATATATATATATATATTTACACACATACAAATATATACATACATATATATATGCATATACATATATATATATATATATATATATATATATATATATATATATATATATATATATGCATATATATATATATACAAATTTATACATATATATATATATATATATATATATATATATATATATATATATATATATATATATATATATATATATATATATATATATATATATATATATATATATATATGTATAAATTTGTATATATATATATATGCATATATATATATATATATATATATATATATATATATATATATATATATACATCACACAGCAGCAATAACAAAGTCAAACCTGTTCAAATCCTTCAAACTTATGTTGAACAATAGTACATCGTTCTAAATCATAAGAGCGCTCCAATTTTAAATATGTCTTGAGTTGCGAGCTATTCTCAGTAACCCAAGATCTTACAATATCTGCTTCACTATACAATTTGAATAGGGCAAAACATTCATTTAACTTTTTCATTCGTATATCAATTTTGCTTTGCAGAGTGAGAAAGTGTTCTTTCAGTCTTGAAAAAATTAAATAAATGTAAAAAAAAAAAATTCAAAACAAAACAATTTTATTAAATTTGAAGCATTTTTAACAAACAAAAGTACCAGTGTTAAAATAAGAAAAACATACCTATCAATAGCATTTAGAACTTCAGGAGATTCTTGAACCTGTAACAAATATTCTCAAATTTATTCTTTAATTGAAATGAAATTAAAATACATATCATTGTTGTCATCGTCATCATCATCATGATCATCAATCATCATCATCATCTCAAAAGAAGCAAAATTATATGAAAGTTTTAAAAATAATCATCATTTTATAAGAAACAAAAAAATATAAATTTTTTTGTAAAAATGCTTATTTTTAGTTTTTAATTAAAAAATGTCATTTTCTAGTGAAATCTAAAACAATAATTTTTTTATAAAATGATGATTATTTTTAAAGTTTTTAAATAACTTCGCTTTTTTTGAGACCCAACATGATATACTTTTGAAGAACTATTTATATATATATATATATATATATTTTATACAATAGAGTAAAATTAAAAGAACTTAAATTTAATAAAAAAGATTCAACCTCTTTTTCTAGTGAACTTGTTCTAAGTTCTTCGACAGATTTGATTGAATTCTCCAAAGTAAGAACTTCATTGTGAAGCTTCTAAAAATACCAGAAAAACTGTGATCAATGTAAAATTTTTGATAGATTTAAGGATAGACAAGTTTATTTTCTGATATATATATATATATATATATATATATATATATATATATATATATATATATATATATATATATATATATATATATATATATATATATATATATATATAAAACACTTTTAACGTTTATTTAAAAAACAATTATTTATATAATACAACTAAAACTAGTTATCAAAAGTTATAGGCATATAAGTTGTGTGTGGATTAGGGTACGCCACTTAAAACAAAAATTAGCAAAGAAACTTCTAGCATCAATATTATAGTGCCAATATATATAATAAATAAAAATTCAAAAAAAAAAAAAAAAAATTTTTTTTACCTACCGGGGAACTCGTTTTTTTAGGAAGATGTCAGATCGTAAAAATTCGCAAATTTAAAAAAGTCATATCTCAGTAAGTTTAGTTCAATTTTGATGTTCTTTGTGTCTAACAAATAGTTAAAAAATGGTAACATGATTGACATTGAAAAATTAAGATTATATTAGGGCTGATGACGCCAGAGGATCAGGGAGTCACGTGCAACCCCCTCCCCCCCATACACACTTTTTCTAAAAAGGACTTTTTTTGTTGGAAATGAAACACTCTAATGTACACAGAAGTGTACATTAGGGTGTTTCATTTCAGACAATTTTTCGAAAATGGTTACGTTACATGCATAATGGGGTAAATAATATGCCAAAAAAAAGTCTAAAAAATTTTCAAAATTTAAAAATGTTATCGAGAGGTCACCATCTTGAAAAAATAATGTTTTTTTACACTTTTTTTAACTTTAAACTTGAATAACTTAAAAAATAATTTAATTTTATGTTACCTGGTATGTATAATAAAAGTTATCGGATAACCATTTAGCCAAATTTTCAAAAATAATGGTTAATGTCTAGAGGTCGCCGAATTATAAAGTTTTATTTTTTCAACATATTTTTTTGCTATAAAATTGCTTAAATGCTTTAAAGAAACTTCACCTTAAATAAAATGCATAATTTATGTTTTGAGCATAATTGGCCATTAAAAGTTGTTGCGTGATTAAATAGTTTGCAAAATAAACATCTGGACATATGTATATAAACTTCATAAACTTATAAAAAAAAATTGGTTCTTATATCAATTAGCAAAATTTAAATTTTAAAACAATCTTAAAACAAGTTGGATAAGCAAATATTTTATGGTATCGATGAACCTAAGAAAAAATAATCAAGATTGGTTATTGGTTACCCTGGATCCAATAAACTATCAAGTTGTCTACCAACAAAAAAACATGTTTTGGGTAGATACTCTCATTTACATATTTATTCAAAAGGCGACACTTCTGCAAGAGATATTTTTAAACTTGTTCTTGGTGAGCTTAAGGAAGTTTGGGAAAAAGCTGGAGTACCAATTCAATCAGATAACTCTTGTCTTTCAGTGCTTTTTTTTTTTTTATTTGCATTCACTCCCAACAAGGCTGCAACCAACCACTATTAAGTTGGGAGTTACTAGGAAAAAAAAGAACAGAGTTATAGAGCAAGGAAACAGTTGACAGAAGACTTGAAAAGTCGAAGGTTGTATGAGTCAGGAAAACATGAAGATGGGAGAGAGTTCCCAAGGATTGAAGTGGGGGGAAAAAAACTAGACGAATAAAAGTTTTTAGAGCATGCAGGGACAGATACAGTAAACGAATGAGACTTAGCTGAATGATGAGTAAAACGAGAATAAATTTTAGTTGATGGAACTAGAGATGATAACTCCTTTGAGCAGTGACCATGATAGTATTTGTAGAAAAGAGAAAGAGATGCAACTTTATGACGATGGGAAAGAGGTTCAAGCTTAGCAGATAGTTCAGGTCCAACAACATTTACAATGCATTTTTGGACCTTGTCAAGAAGAGAAAGTGAATCGTTAGAAGAACCAGCCCAAATATGACAACAGTATTCCATACAGGGACGAATAAGAGATTTGTAGAGGTAGAGAATGGAATCAGAAATAAGGAAATGGCGAGCACGATAAAGAGAAGTAACCTTAGCAGAAGCTAATTTAGCAATTGATTGTATATATGGTTTCCATGAAAGGTCAGTAGTAAGCAATAATCCAAGAAGACGTAAAGAGGAGGACTCAGTAAGAGGATTGCCATTCATTAATATAGGAATGTTGACCATATTACGGTAGTTGTTTGCAGTAAACAACTGGGTTTTGTTAGAGTTGAAATTCACAAGCCACTGTGAACCCAAATCTATTACTGAAGTGAGATCGGATTCAAGATCAGCTGCTTGTTCTAGGCGATCGAAAAGAGAAGACTTTTTGTCAAGACAGGAGTATAAAGTTGAGTCATCAGCAAAAAGAGCTACTTTAGATGAAAGGTTGTCAGGAAGATCGTTTATGTAGATAAGAAACAAAACAGGGCCCTGGATGGAACCTTGGGGAACCCCAGAAGTTACTGGTTATAAAGTAGAGTGTTGGCCTTCAAGGATGACTTTAATAAACCGGTTAGAAAGAAATGATTTGATAATCTCAAAAACTTTCCCAGAAACACCATATGAAGCAAGCTTATGGAGAAGCTTACCAAATTGTTTGTGGAAAAGGTGAAAATAAAAAAAAATTGATCACGCAAGTCGAGATGTTAAAGCTGGAAAAGAAAAAATTGTTAGATTTTGTAATGAACTTGAGCAACTTTGCGACATTTCAGCAGAAAATGCATATGAACAGTTATTAGTATCACGTAGACTAAAATGGAAAGAGGATCGGGCATTTTATGAAGATCAAAAGAGTAGTAGAAAGTATCACATGACAGGTAGCATCAATCTAGGTGTTTCAGAATTTTATAGAACGTCGAGAAGATAGCCTAAGCATAGATTTTTGAAGAAGTTCAGCTGAAGATCAAAAATCGAGTGAGTAAATTAGTTGAAAGTGCTAATGAAGAAGATTAAAAAGATACAGAGTTTACTCTTTTACCACTAAAGAAAAGAAAGATGCCTTTAACAAATTCACTAGAGATATTAGCAAAGAAGCTCTCAGAAGTAACGACATCTGTGGTAGATCGATGTTGTTTATGAGTTCGCCAACAACTTTTATTTTAATCCACTATCTACAAAAGCAGAGGCAAACTTGATGGAATTTCTATATCAGTATCAACTGTGCATCGTCAAAGACAAAATGCGCGGGAAAATATTGTTCTGTCAATTAAAGCTGACTGGGTGATAAACAAACCTAAAAAGGCCATTTTGCACTGGGATTCAAAGCTTTTTCATTAAGACATAGCTCATAATGAAGAACGTGCAGCAGTTCTTATTAGCAGATCTCTTAACGGGTACTTATTTATCGATTTATATAAATCCTATGTATATTTTTTATTTTTGTATTCAAAGAAACTAACTTAACTTTTATTTGCAGGCCGAAACGTATTGGTGTACCTTTGATTAAAGACTCGACGTAATGTGGCTTTGAAACTTGCGCAAGATTTGAACATTTTGGAAAACATTGTTGGTATATGCTTTAATACAACAGCAAGCAACACAGGTAATAAAAAAGGAGCAGCAACTTTAATTGAAATTGAGTTAAAGAGACATCTCCTATGGCTAGCATGTCGCCATCATCATAATGAGCTACACATTAAACATGTATTTACCGCATTACAAGGAGGTAGCAAAAGTCCAGGTGAACCAATTTTTAAACGTTTCTAAGCCGAATTTTCTAGAATTGATATTGATTAATCAAACTTTAATTTTTTTGAATGGCCTACTGATATTAAATCAGAAATATTTAATCAAGCCAGTTTAGTTCTGAAATGGGCTTACCAATGCCTCGAAGAGAAAATATTTTTGCGAGAAGATTATCTTGAGTTAATTGAATTAACTATTATCGGGGAAAACTATCAATGGACAGAATATTCAAAATTTACAAACCAGGTGCAATTCACAATGCGAGGTTTATGTCACATTCTATATATATTTTAAAAATGGAACTCTTATCTAATAAATTTATTATGTCCAATAATGAGCAAATTATGAATTACCGCATGGCTAAGTTTATTAGTCTTTTTTATTTGATGCAATTTCTCCCCTCAGGGATTTCCGTATTTGCTTCAGTTGATGACTTCAAATTTTTTGTTGCAATGAACTGGTATCAAGAAGAAGATTCAGATATCACAACCGCTGTGATTTTGTCGATTAACTGTCACCTTTGACCAAGATGACGGTTAATCGATGAAAATCATTGACCAAGACCAAAAACATTTTTAATTGGGAAACTAAAATTTCCGACATTAAATTCTTCAACCTTTATTTTTTAATTGGCCCACGGTTGTGGCTTCTTTTTGATTTATTAGGACTAATAAACAACCAGGAATGGCTTCAGATGAATCCACAAGAGTGGAAATTCTTCCAAGATTATCGAACTGCAGAAAATTTTGTTAAACAATTAGAGGTAATAAATGATTGCGCCCAAAGAGGAATCAAACTTGGTAATTTTCGCGAGTGTGCGCAAAATGAAGAACAACAACGATTTATTTTGCAAGTTGTTGAACAACACAGAAAGCAAAATCCATCCTATTTGAAATCAAAACTAATTAATACTTTATAGTATTTTTTATATTACTATCTTCTTTATTAATTATTATTCTTAGAAATGCTAAAGCCTAAAAATAGCCTAGTTAAATTTTTTTTTTTAAGATTTAAAAAAATTAAAAGTTTTTTTAGCTTTATATTTTAATACAGCGACCTCTAGACATTGACTAATTTTTCTGAAAATTTCACCAAATGTTCATCTAATAACCTTTGATATATATGCACCCAGTAATGTAACATAAAATTAATTATTTTCTAAGTTATTCAAGTTTAAAGTCGAAAAAAGTGTAAAAAACGCTATTTTTTCAAGATGGCAACCCCTAGATGACATTTTTAAATTTTGAAAATTATTTAGACTTTTTTTTGGCACATTATTTACCCTGTTATGCATGTAACGTAACCATT